GGGACTTAATTAGGTGTGTCCCAGAACTTTGTGGGAACCTGGAGAAGTGATTGCTGGATCGCTTGTGAGATATTTGTATCATCGATAGCCACAGGTGAGGTGCCAGAAGACTGGAGGTTGGCTAATGTGGTGCCATTACTTTAAAAAAGGCACAAGGAAAAGCCAGGGAACTATAGATCAATTAGCCTGATGTCAGTGGTGGGTTTACATGTACTTGGAAAGGCAAGGACTGATGAGGGATAGACAACATGCCTTTGTGCGGGAGAATTAGTGTCTCACTGACTTGATTCAGTTTTTCTGAAGAAGTGACAAAGAAGAGTGATGAAGGCAGAGCAGTAGACATTGTCTACATAGGCTTCAGTAAGGTGTTTGACAAGGTTCCACATGGTAGACTGGTTAGCAAGGTTAGATCACATCCAGGGATCCCAGGAAAGCTAGCCATGTGGATATAAAATTGGCTTGAAGGTAGGAGATAGAGGCTGGCGGTGGAAGGTTGTTTTTTGGACTGGAGGCCTGTGACCAGCAGTGTGCCCAAGGATCTGTGCTGGGTCCACTGCTTTTTGTCATTTACATAAATGAATTGGATGTGAACATAGGAGGTATGGTAGTAAATTTGCAGGTGACAAAATTGGTTGTGCAGTGGACAGTGAGGAAGGTTACCTCAGAATACAATGGGACCTTGATGAGATGGTCTGATGGGCTGAGGAGTGGCATTTGGAATTAATTCAGACAAATGTGAGGTGTTGCATTTTGGTAAAGCAAATCAGGGCAGGACTTATGCACTTAAATGGTAAGGTCCTGGGGAGTGTTGCCGAACAGAGAGACTTTTGGTGCAGGTTCATAGTTCCTTGCAAATGGAGTCGCAGGTAGACAGGGCAGTGAAGATGATGTCTGGTACACTTGCCTTTATTGATCAGTGCATTGAGTATAGGAGTAGAGATGCCATGTTGCAGCTGTACAGAACATTGCTTCAACTACCTTTGGAACATTGCATTCAATTCTGGTCGCCCTGCTATTGGAAAGATGTTAAACTTGAAAAGGGTGCAAAAAGATTTAGATGATGTTGCTGTGGTTGGAGGGTTTGAGCTATAAGGAGAGGCTGAATAGAGCTTCAGAGGCTGAGGGGTGACCTCAGAGGTTTATAAAGGCACAAGGGGCAAGGATAGGGTGAAAAGCTAAAGTCTTTCTCTCAGGGTAGAGGAGTCCGAACTTAGCTGGTATAGGTTTAAGATGAGAGGGGAAAGATTTAACAGGGACCCAAGGGACAACATTTTCACACAGAGGGTGGTACTTGTATGTAATGAGCTGCCAGAGGCTGGTACGATTACAACACTTAAAAGGCATCTGAATGGAAAGGGTATATGAATTGGAAGGGTTTAAGAGGGATAAGCGCCAAATGTTGGCAAATGGGACTAGAATAATTTAGAATACGTGGTCAGCATAGATAAGTTGGACCGAAGGGATTGTTTTCATGCTGTATGAGAAGGCCATCTGGCCCATCACGTCCATACCAGCTTTCTGCAACAGCAACTCAAGCTTTTCCAAGTCCATTACCATTTCCATGTAAACTATTCTCTTCAGATAATTAAGTAATATCCTTTTGGAAGCCATTGTACTCCCAGCCAGTGCAATCGAGATCCTACTCACTTAAAAAAAAGATATGTTTTGTAGACTTCAGAGTGTGTCAACAGTTTCCCAATCCTAGTTGCACCAGAGAAGATTTTCAAAGTCATTTGCCTTATTGAAGTGCTGCAGTCTGTTTTGTGAAGACACACCAATAACACTGTTGGGGACAGAATCAAGACCTTGAGTCAGCAACACAAATGGAGCAACAATGTATTTCCAAGTCAAGATGCTGAGTGGCTAGGAGAGGAACTTGAAGGTAGTGAAGTTCATACAAAAATGCTCTGCTTGTCCTACTAGATGGCAATGCTGTGCGTTTAGTAGATGCTGTCTAAGGAGTTATGGTGAATTTCTGCACTGTATCGGTTGATGGTACATGAGGCAGTGACGACCTTGTGTCAATGGTGGAGGGAGGAAATGTTTGTGGATGTAAGGCCAATCAAGTGGGCTGGTTTCTCCTGGATGGTGTTATGCTTCTTGAATGCTGTTAGAGTTATCATCCAGTTAAGTGAGGAGTATCCCATCACACTCCTGACTTGTGCTTTGTAGATGGTGGCCACACTTTGGGGAGTCAGGAGGTGAATTACTTGCTGCAGGATTCCTAGCCTCAGATCTACTCTGGTAGCCACGGAATTTAATGGGCCAGTCCAGTTCAATTTCTGGTCAATGGTAACCCTTAGCATGTTGATAATGTGAATTCAGTAATGGTAATGTCAATGAATGTCATGGGGCAATACTTAGATTGTCTCTTGTTGGAAATTGTCATTGCCTGGCATAAATGTTACTTGCTACTTATCAGCCCAAACACTGATTTTATCCAAGTCTTGCTACTTTTGGACATGGACTGATTCAGTACCCGAGTATCTGTGAATGATGCTGAACATTGTATCTGTGATCGAACATCTTCACTTCTACCCTTGTGATGCAGGCAAGGTCATTGATGAAGCAGCTGAAGATTATTGGACCTTGGACTCCACCCTCAGGGTCCCCTGCAGTAATATCTCAGTTCTAGGATGACTTACCTCTAACAGCCGCCAACAATCTTCCGTTGTGCTCGATATGACTCCAAACAGCAGGGAGTTCTCTCTAGTTTAGCTACAGATCCTGGATACCACTCTTGCTCAAATGCAGTTATGACGTCAAGGACAGTAAGTCAGTCAGTCAATCAGTCAATCTCTTCTCCCCTGGAATCGAGCCTCTTCTATCCATGTTTGAACCAATGTTGTAATGAGGTTAAGAGCAAGTCATCATTGCCTGGCATGGCAGAACCAAAGTGAGCTTCAGTAAACAGTTTATTGCTGAGCAAGAGCTACTTGATACCACTGTAGATGCCCACTTTCATCACTTTACTGATTTACTGTAAACTGGTAACTAGCTCTTTTCGTTTACAGGACATACCTCAGCAATTTTCCACATTAATTGGTAGATGTTTTAGTGGAAACAGAACAACTTGGCTGGGAGAACAGCATGTTCTACAGCACAATTCTTCAGCACAATAGCTGGAATGTCATTAGGGTGCACAATCTTTGCATTTCTCGAAATCACATGGAGTATTTGACAGAAAACTGTTATTTCTGATAACGGGCACATCTGGGGGAAGCAGAAATGGATCATCCACTTGGCAATTCTAGTTGAAGACTGTTGCAGACACTCCAGTCTTATTTGTTGCATTGGTGCATTGGGCTTCTCATAAATGAGGATGGAGCTATTTTGCAGCCTCTTTTCTCCCATTGTCCACCACCTTGCAAAACTGAATGTGGCAGCAAAGCAAGGATTAGACCTGTTACATTGTTGTGGAATCACTTAGGACTAACACTTGCTGCTAATGCTGTTTGGCAAAGTAGAGCTGTGTTATAGCTTGACCAGGTAGTTGTCCCATTTTTAGCTCAGTATCTCTCCACATCTACCCCATCTAGACCACTCAAACCTCCTTTTTCCTTCAGAAAATACCTGCAGCTTCTCCAATCTATCCTCAGGTGAGGTCTTTTCTTTGCTACACCATTCTAAACCTTTTCTGCACCTTCTCCAATGCCTTCACATCTTCCCAAAAATGTGGTAACCAGAATTGCATACAATACTTCATTTGGGTAGAACCATTACTTTATAAAAAGTCTATCATCACTTTCTTGTTTTTTGTACTCCACACTTTTATTTATAAAATCCTTTATTAGCTGCTTTTTCAATCTGCTGCACCGTTTTCAACAACTCATGTACATAAACCCACTGTCCCTCTTTTCTCTTCATTTCATATTGCTTATCTTCACTCTCCCTTACAAAAGGGGTTACTTCAACTTCTATACATTGATTTTGACCTGTTCTATGTACACCATTCAACCAGTCTGTCTACATCCTCATGAAATCTGTCATTATCCTTCTCCCAATTCACAATATTTCCGAGCTCTGTGCCAAATGAATTAGGTAAGTTTTGAACAAGTTAGGTTTCAAGTGTAAAGAGGAAAGGAGAACTGACATTGAGCATTCTAAATCTCAACATTCTGATTTATCTAAGCTGATTAAATGAATAAAATCAATACCAAGGGAGCAAGTAGAACATATTCTCAGAATCAAAAGTGAAAATGTTGATTTTTCACAATTAGAGGATGCTTAAATCCATGCTCCAATTAAGTAGCTATAAAGTGAAAAGCATGTACTTATACAGGGCTTTTAGCTGATTGCAAAAAAAAATTCCAAAAAGGCCAGAGGCTAACGTAGCGGTAGCCAGGAGATTTAAATAAGTGATCGACAATCAGGAAAAACGCGTGGTCCTGCGCAATTCAAGAAGAACTGAGAGAGACCAAGTGGTAGAAGAATATTTATCTCCCCCCCGCCCCCGCCACAAAAAAAATCTTCGTCGTCAATGACCTGTACAAACAAATGACACGTTACCTACAGAAGGCAAAACGCAAGAAACATTCACATGAAGGTTGCATTAAGGATTAGTGAACCTGGGCAGCAGTCAACCTTAGATTTGTAGACGGGAAAGCTATCTGATTATTGGCATCCTCCGTAACCATAGCAACCCCCGGTAGTGTTGACTGCGGGGTGCCAACCCATTTTGTAAAAAAAACTCGCTTAAATAGTCAATTCATTAAAGTTCCCTGGTGCAAACGTACGCCTGCCTAAGCTTCTTCGTGCAAATTCATACTGCGCAACACATCTTTCGGAAACCTGCAAGTTCTCAATCCGAAGTGTGACTCAGTTCTAACGGCTCCAGCTGGTGATGGGGGAATCTGCGGGAACGCAAGGCCCAGGTTCCATGATCCAACTCCACACGCACTTCCAAATATTATCACAAGACTCCCTCATTCCCACCACAAAAGAAAGCATACTAGTTCATTATCATGACAAATAACAACAGTGACTGTCTCCCGACTCACGTTTTTTTATTTACTGCGACACTCTCCCACCTTTCGATGGTTATTTACATCTCCTTCCATACACAACATCTTCCCCGCCCCTCCGATCGTCACTCTGATTGACATGGCTATTAGCCATACAGCATTCGATTCGGAAACAATCGGCCAATCATCATGGGGTATGGGCGGGTGACGCGACTGTGACCTCACAACAATTTGAAACCACTGAACCAATCGAAGCACAGCCTGCGGCGTAAGGGACGGTCCAACTATGATTGGCATACACAGAAACCAATAGAAAATGCCGAATTGCAAAGGCTGTGTCATCCTTGATAAGAAATAGTAGGAACTGCAGACGCTGGAAAATCTGAGATAACAAGGTGTAGAGATGGATGAACACAGCAGGCCGGGCAGCATCATAGGAGCAGGATAGACAAGGGTCTAGGCTCGAAACGTCAGCTTTCCTGCTCCTATGATGCTGCTTGGCCTGCTGTGTTCATCCAGCGATACACCTTGTTATCTCATCCTTGATAAGATTTGGATTAGCGTAGCACGACATTGTGGGAGTTGTAGTCCGCTTCCTATTACATACCACGTTAAAATGCCTTAATAAACTACAATCCCACAATGCAACAAACGCCCGGAACAATCGTAATTGTAGAGTCAATGGTAATTGTAGCGTTTGAATTTGATAGGCACGATCAGATAAACAATTCCATAAATATTATTATTTGTCATATTTGTGACATTGAAATGTCACATTTCTATCGTTGGGCATAGTTTTCTTTTTTATTAGAACATTAGAGATAAATGAAGGAATCACGATATTCCCTCAAACCCTAGAGAGTATTGTTGGTTTTAATCCCTTAACGTAGATAATAGAGCAAAAACAAAAATTG